ATATCACCCCATAGATAAATAGCGAACGTTAGCCTACTCATCAAAACCATATTTCGATGCTCTATGCTAACTATGGTGTGCACACCAATTTGTCCTATGTTGAATTTAAGTACTAAAAATTATGTAAAATACGTTCGTGTCGTACGTTAAACGTAATAACTTCCGTTTGGTATTGATAAACATGTTGATGATTGCTTTTACTGTTGACAAAAAATAATTTTGCATCTTTACTTTTGTGCCCTTTTACTTTTTTTATATACCAAGTTATTTCCAACTTAACTAGTAGGAACTTAACGGAAGTTTTCCTTGCGTTGGATGGAAATTGGCACTGGTTCGTTGCTCATGGCCGACGTTTTTGCGCGTTTGATATATAAAAGTACTAAATATAAATTAGCGCGGACTATGGTTGTGGAAAGTTATATTAATACCTACAATTTGGCGGTTTTTTTTCTCTTTTTGCCGCTTTGTCCAAACCGAATTTGTTGCTATCGTTATGGTACGAGGCGTTTGCCTAACGTAACGTTTTTATGATATATTCTATATCAATTAAAAACGTTTTTAATTATGATAAAACCTATGTAGATTGTATCATTTTTAAATAATAAATGTAGTTGTCCTATCACAAATATAGTTGTCTATTTCAGCAATACTGATATGAAAATATTCAGTCGAACACCTAGATGCGTTACTTGTGAATAGCTAAACTTGGTTGTACTGCTTTTTACAACAACTATGGGGACTGAAATAGCATTAGCTATGTAACTGGCAATACCAATTGTTGGTCATCGAGGCGACTCAGCAGTCACAAATGTACTGCAGTAATCTGCACTTTTCTTAAAATTATGTTTTTCATTTACTTAAAATTTTAAACTAGCGGTTTTGAATCTGTGAGCAAAGTTCAATGGTGTCGTACCAGCTGCTACTCCATCATAGCATTAAAGGGTTAAAACAAATTGGGCTTTGGGTTAACAATAAAACATACATATTTTAAATCATAGCAACGTTATTGTATTTTCTTTTCTGAATTGAATATTTCGTGTGCTTACACAGTAAACACTGATTTCAACGCTTACAACTAAAAATATTCTAAAAAAAAATAAGTAAATGTATACACGAGTTATAGTACTGGCTTGTGCAGTTGATTCTTTTATTTCAGTTTGTGGGCAAACTTAAGTATCGATATAAGTACGAGTGAGTTAAGTGTAAAGTGCTTGGTAGGATGCATTGTACTTTCGAATTGTGTGTTGTGCTCAGATACCGTGCATTTTAAAAGATTCGGATGCCAATGGCTCACCGCACAACAAAGCCAACGAGCACGCAACGTCGTTTGCTTATTTTTCATTATACAAACTGATATATATTTATATATATATATGTATATTTAGATACACTATTCTAATAATATTGCTATCCATTTCACTTTAGTCTATAGAAATGTCAAATAAATTGCCAAGTGCTTTATTATGTATAATGTACAGGAAGTCTCGTAGCTTTTAGATTAAATTTGAAATAACCCCACCGACTTGTTTATTCCCATCACAATAAAGTGGCGGATGTAGTTGTTTATTGGAAGATAATATTAAAGAAAATTACTAGTTATCACATGATTTCAGTTTTATTTATTACTCGTCTTTCGACAATGACTTTTTGTTATAAATGTATTTGAGCGTACCATATCCTTATAAATATCAAGGTTAATAATTCATTGGTTGATCTCAATTTGAACGGAAATGACTTATTGTGCTGTTTTCATTCGTCGATGTTTTTATGGACAGCAATTTTGAAAATGTTCGGTCTTAAGAAATTTCCACGAAATTTCCTATTACAGTTCTTTAAGGATCCAAAAACGTATCGTGACATTTCTTACACAGGAAGACATTTAAAGGTAAAATGTTAATTTATCAAAAACTCTTCTACATGTAGATGTTCTGTGATTTTCAGTCAAAATGTAAGACATACACTGCAACCCCGTGTCCTGGTTTACATATTACAGTGCTGTAGCAATTCATTTTCATATAGATGAGCACGCTCTTTACACTTATAATTCAAAATAACGAGGAATCACTCATACTAAACAAAATGGATACCTTTAGATACATAGAAAATTTAAAATAAAGAAGTAGATAATAAAATATAAATCTCATGTATCCACTAAAATGATGATCGGTGTTAATCCATGGCACAATTAGCGAATTTAAAGCTTTCATTTTTCACCAATGGATACAAAACCCGAATACATTAACAGCCAGTTTCAATATTCTATGTACAGATAGATTTGGTTACTAGCGATAGGTATTTAGATATACATATAGGTATTCCATAATACATTAAGTCAAAATTCTATCAACTGTATCCAAATTTATCTGTAAACAGAATATTGAAACGAGCTGTAAATGTTGCTCAAACAATTTTAAATTAAATCAAATATTATTTAATGACTATTGCGCGATCTCGGACTATTGTGTATTGTATGTTGTACTACAAATGTTCAATGCATATTAATGAAAAAAACACGAATAGCACGTTAAAATTCATAATTTTTATTGCTTATGTGTGCCTTTAATTTACTGGAAGTAAACAAGAAAAATACAGTTCTCAAGTGGTACGTACTCGAAACAAAAAATTCTTATATTATACGATCTTGACTCGAAATTTACAATTGGTCAGTCGAAAAAATTGAGCACACGATATTCCGATAATTACACAGAACAGTGGATTACTTATTGCACAGACTGTGGTCACTAACAATCTAGAAAGTTACTCTAAGACGGGACACGCTTAGAAATAGTTTAAAAATCAAACCGATACCTATTGATTGTCACCTCTTGTAACGTACCGCGGCTTAATTCTACTTGTTCTTCTTCGGCAGTGAACTAATGATGCAATCTTTTCTTAGAACTTATTACACGACAGCGAGTCGATCCGCGCATACTATTTCTTTCCGAACGCCAAACGCAGGCATACATACTGCACCACACCATACCTACCTAACTATATTAATATCGAGTTATTTAGTTCAATTTATTTAAAGCGTACATTTTATACTTATATCGAGGTCCTTATTCATATAATCCAATGTTATCGTCTCAAAAAATAAATCGTTTTACAAAAATTAAATGATATGAAAAGTGTTACGTGCATTATGCGTGTAAAGAATCGATAAAAACACTGTAATTGATACTGCGATTAAATCTATTAACAAAATAATAACTAAACAGTCTTTGCATTGACTGGTCAACTACTTATAAGTAATAACGTGTAATTAGGTGGGATTGATTCAGGAACCGAGAGGTTAAAACTATTTCAATATAACACGATAAATCGTTAAATAATAAAAAGTAACTCGTGAAATTTTAGAAATAAATTATAAGAACCTACAATTGACAGAGGTTGGTCTATCTTCTCGGAATTTGTGTATAAAAACGAAGAGAATGACACCAATGAAAAATCAACGTGTAAATTATGCCCGATAATATATCGCGGCGAAAACAAATTTTAGAACCTCGTTCGTAAGGTATTTAAATAAATAAGTGTACAAGAACATACCTAATATGTTACTTTACATATGTACAGTTCAATTCAAAATAAAATATACAAAGATACAAAAAGAAAACAATAATTTGTACTCGAAAGTAAATCCATTTCACAACATCTACGTACTCTCATCATCGGCCCGATCTATATTATGGCTAACTCTACCTAAGTATATTTTGTGGGTTTTTATAATATAAGTGCCCGCGCCACCGTTATTGGAGTTGAACGACCTTCGCATTCGATTTCGCGTAATGGCGGCGTCGGCGCTTAACGCCAATCACGGTCGCCCGTTGCGTCGCTAAACTTTACTCGTAAATAGTTATATTAAGTAATAACTACAATATAATGTGGTATGAGCGGTCTTGTGGATGCTATCCCGCTCATACCTAAAGCGTTTAGGAGAACGTGTTCGCGCACTGCCTGCCCGCCATATTGACAAACCGACACCACATATGGCAATATTACGGTGTTAATGTTGCCTATACTGCCACGAGTTTCCGGACAACATTCGAAATTGTTTTACAATGAGATGTTTTCCTAGTACATCGAACAATTAATTGACATTCACCGTTGGATTAACAAAGCAGGCAGTGCGAACGCAAAACGCCACGGCATCCACATTTTAAATCTAAGTATATAGTACATTAATATTATTACAGTCAAACAGTTTCATGACATCAAGTCATTGTGGCTAAGTACCTAATGCAGTAAGGTCGTCGCCAGCTGTTTCAATTCAGGAACTGGCGGCGAAGGTGGGATGTGTTTAAAACTAAGTAAACAATAACATAATAACAAAAACCTGTTATTGAAACAAACGCAACGACCATCTAATTAGTTACGGAATCGTGTTCAATGAATCAGTAAATAACCATATCGCAAATAGGATGAGTTTTGTTGTGATTAATTTTTAGGAGCTTCCCCATACTACGAAAATTAACAGAAGTGTTTAGAAATAGCCAGTTTCGCAGATGGTGTTGCAAGTTTTTGCATTTAGAATAAGTTTGCAAATAGAATTTAATATTAACCAAGTCCTTTTTTCATTACATGTTTAATTTTCTTTTGTTTTACAGAATAGGTACTCTATATGCAAAACTATTAACGTGAAATTAAATAATAAAATTTTATTAACATTTCGTAACTGTAGGAAATTTACATGCGAGAGACACTGTACGTCGAAAATAATGAGAACTTATTTGCAAGGTATTCAATGTGCGTCGAAACATTTCAATAATTAGTTTTGTCGCCCTTTAAGCCCGAATCGGAATTGTACTCGCTTTCGGAGTCGGGAAAGCTAGCAACGTGGGAATGCTATATTAGTAATAATTTTTACCGTTCCGCGTCAATTATTAATCTTGGTTCCTTGATTCCAATAAGAGCGGAAAAGGCGTCGTCGTACTTTACTAAGTCAGTCGTTTGTTGTTTTACGAAGCGTCGCTGGGGGTCGGGTTGGAGGTGAGACGCGGTCAGCAGACGGTCTCGGCGGGAACGGGCGCTGCGAGGGGCGAGAGGGGGGACAGGGTGGAGAGGGTGGCGAGCGGCGAGAGGGGCGAGAGGGGGGGCGGCGGCGCCAGCGGCTCCGGGGAGCGTCGGCGCAGCGCCTGCCGCTTGCGGAACTCCAGGAACTCCTCCTTCATGGCGCGCACTCGCGCCTCGACGTCGTCGCGCGAGGGGCGCGTGCGCGTGCGCTCCGGCGTGGAGGGCGTGGGCGTGCGCGTGGCGCGGTCCCACTCGTAGTGCACGTCCACGGAGCCCGCGTCCGCCGCCTCGCCCGAGCCGGGGCGGGGCGGGGGCGCCGGCGGCGGCGGCCGGTACGGGGGCGGCCGCCACTCCGCCAGGCTGCCGGTCCTGCTGCTGCGGTTGTGCTGCGAGGAGGCGTTCTTGCTGCCGAAGCCGCTCGACGAGGAGCGGCTCTCGGGCGAGGCCTCGTGCGGGGGCGGGGCTTCGGGCGCGGGGCGCGGCCGCCCGTGGCGACGCGGACGCGCGAACGCGCCGGCCGGCCGCAGGGCGAGCTCGTGCGGCGGCAGCGCGCGCAGCCGGAACGACGGCGGCGTAGGGAACGAGCCGTCCGCCGAGCTCGGGAACGGCACGGAGCTGAGGTCGGACACGTGCAGCGGCGACCACGGCGCCCATGCGGGCCACGGCGGCCACGGTGGCCACGCGGGCCAGTGGAGCGCCAGGGCGGGGGATGAGGCGCGGAAGGGCGGCGCCGCGGGGGGCGCGGCGGCGGGCGCGCGCGGCCGGAAGCCCCCGTCGTCCGAGGAGGAGGGCGCCGGCGAGGGCGCGGCCGACGAGGAGGACGCCGCCGCGGAGACGCGCCGCACCACGGCCCAGTAGCGGCCCTCGTCGCCGCACCGCGACGCCGGCCAGACCCAGTTCGCCGTGAACCGCAGGCATTGCACTATACTCGATATTCCGCGTTCACTAAATCTGGACGAGAATTATTGCCGACATCAGTAACGATAACCGGGATGCAAATGCGGTAATCATATATTCACTGGCGGATTGATTGTGATAAAACAGTTAAACATAGACTATCAAATATGCAATTTTAGAAGAAGACTAACCTGATTTCCTGTTCAGAGCGCAGCGTGAACGAAATTGAATCATAATTAATTAAATGTCAAGTCTCGATTGGCGAATAAGTGCATTTGAGGGGATGTGCTTACTTCTTAAAAGGCACTTGAGTGCTGTCGGCGGCGCGCAGGTCGGTGAGGCGCGCGGCTACCATGTTGTATGCTGTAATCGAATGATTTCTGAACATTAACGCAGTGCCATCTGTCGCAGCGACCCGCGCCGCGGCCGCCGCCCGCCACCGCCCACGCCCACGCCCAGTACCGTGCGTGCCCACTCCCACGTTCCCAAATCCCACGCCCAAACTCACACCATATTGTCAACTTAAAAGCATAAATTCACGGGAAAGGCAGCTAGCTATACATACATATAATATGCTAATAACTTTTATAATATATAATATAACTTTTGACACAATAATAATTAATTAAAGTATATATCTATTTAACTTTACATGCGTTCCCGTGAATTAAGTTAGTAGTAAATGGAATTAAAGGATGCGACAAATTATTAAAAAAAAACTAAACATAAGTACAACAAATTAGCGGTATTGAACAGATCGATGCGAGCAATGATTGAATGAATATTACAAATTAAATCGAACCAAATGGCAATCTCAAAACGGTACAATAAATATACATTGTTAATAAGCATTAATACAAAAAACACAAACATGTAATAGGAAGCCATCCAATTTACGCAGTAGGCTATGAAACAAATCTAAATAAGAAAAATGATCAACTATACTATATGAATATTATACAACTGCTTTATCACCGACAATATGGTAGATAAAGAGCAAAATACTTCCCGTTTAACAATTGTATTCATAGCTAATAAACAAGTAACACTTAAAGAGAAAGCATTCGGCTTTCACGAATCTGGTCGGTAACATGTCTAACGTTCTAAATCACCAAACAGTTCGGATCGTCTAGCTCGTTAGTGGGACAGCACTATCACGGGGAACAAACCAGTGCAAAGCCGGGCCAGCGGGCTAGCGGGCTAGCGGCCTCCGTTGCAAACCGGGCTCACCTTTCTCCTGCTTGCGCCGCTTCCGCTTGTTGCATATCTTCACGGCGCACACGGACAGTATGATGGCCACTATGAAGAACAGTATGCCGCCGACCACGCCCGCGGTGATCGCCTTGTGCTTCACCCGCGCCGGAACCGGAAACTTCACCTCGTCGGAGCTCTCGTAGCTCGTCGCCGAGTTAGCCAGCACCCGGAAGTAGTACGTCCGTCCGCCGACCAGATTTTTCACTGCGGACACATGTCATGGTTCTAATGAACTTAATAAACTCCGCACGGGGAAACGATTTAGCTGTTTATCATTCTTTCGGACACTTTGAAGTAATAACACTCTATTACGAGAGAACTACGTGACCGAGAGCGATTTCTAACTCACAACGTTGTCTGTACGAACTCGAAAGTTTCAAATTTAGACTACAACGTTCGAATACACAGTGAAGCAATTTCGCACGGTTTTTATAATACTACATAATGACATAAGCATCGATGCTATTAGCATAAGTTGACGCATAGCAGTCGGATGCTCGTTTAGCAGGTTTTTTTTGGCAAAGAATTATGCCGTTTTAGCGTATGAATGTTTGATGTGATAGAGTTATGTTTCGGCCTGTTTCGCATAACAGCTAGATTGTGACTGCTGCAGCATTGTGTTTTAAAATAATAATTATTCGTTGTTTTTAATTAAAAAATAATGGGTTCTTATCTATGTAATACCGTTTTTTATATACATAAAATAAAACTATGTTCTCATTGAAATGTATATAATTTTATGTATCGCAATATTGGCAATTATTGTTGATGCATTATTGAAATTTTGATGAATGTATAATATTTCATAGATGCCCCATGATTTCAGGAGACGAGAAAGGTCTTTAATGGCATTTTCACATCGGACTTGAAATTTCGACTGTCTATTGTGTGGTATATGACTAGCGTTGTTGTGAAGATGAAGTGGACCAGTAATTTCATTGAATTATGTTGATTTCGTGAGATAGAGACAGCTAATTAAACTTGTAGTTAGACAGAGACATCAAGGATCAAAAGACATCAACGAGTGAAATAAAAAAAATCAATTTGTTTTTTTCGTTTACTTTTTATATCCATTAAAACTTACACGGTGTACGGAATGTTGTGTCATGTTTTTCTAACTTTATTATTAACATATGTCGCTTCAACAACATCAAAGGTCTAAATTATAATTTTTTATATCATTTGCTAGTCTCTGCCATTTAAGATGAAATTTAATATGTGTAGATTAATTGTTGAAAAATTTTTCATCGCTTCCAGAATTAAAACCTGAATTCATCTAAGACGCTAATATCAACGTTTCTGCTACGAGGTCGTATCGTTTGTGTCTCAAGTTTTAATTTAGTCTTACCCAAGTAGCTGGTCTCCTCGGGCCGTATCTGTCCGCGGTTGAGGGTCTTCCACTGAGCGTCGGTGCGGTACTTGATGGTGTAGTACTGGACGAGCTGGGCGCGCTCCAACGGCTGCTGCCATGTGATCAGGAAGCCATTGTGCACCTCCGTCACCGTCAGGTTGCGCGGCTGACCCGGCTTCGGACCTGCGACACGGTGACGCTTTTAGAATCTGTGCTCGCGGCGTCCGCCATGTTTTTTTTTGTATCTATGCGGTAAAAGCGGTAATGAAACAAGCAAAATGCACTGTGCTCTTTACCGACTTTTTATGTGTGTTTATTGATTTGTGCAGCAAAATGAGCAAAACAAGTGTTCGTGATGAATATCAGTGTAGCTGAAATATAAGCATTGAAATATATTCTTCTTTTAAAACATAGACATATTAAATGATGTTTATTTATTCGTTGTCTCATAATACTTAAAATAAATAATGAATGACAGATTAATATTAGAAAAACTATTTTACTTTAATTTCCTACTTAATTTTTATAGTATTACTAGCTGACTCGGCAAACGTTGTTTTGCCATATAAATTATTTCTAGAGGAATCGGAACGCACACAAAGTGTTTGACAGGTTACACAGACATAGTTGACAGGTACAGTTTGTATGGGAAAATAAAATTGTTGCTATTTCGATTTTCCATCCAATTTTTCCATTATTTCTCATTGTTTAAACATTCCTTGGACTGTCACAAATATTTCAAAACCAAAATTAGCCAAATAGGTCCAGCCGTTCTAGAGTTTTAGCGAGACTAACGAACAGCAATCCATTTTTATATATAAGAAGATAAGATATAATATTATAGAATAAAGTTCACCGTTATTAACTAGAGCATGTTTGGTGGTATTGGCGATTTGTATGAATTAGACTAACATTGATTCACAACATTAAGAAAAAATACTGTTATGAGATAATAATAAAAAAAGTTCTATAGAGTTAAAATGAATAAAATTAAAGCGAAAAACTTATGAACTATCGCATGCATGTACTAAAGATACAGAAGAAGAAAGCTAAAAGATTTCGTGATTAAATGAAAGTTAGTTATAAACGTGCAAAGTACCAGAGCCTTCGGGTGCGTTCTGAAATATCTTTTCGTCTACAGGCCCCGAAGAAGTGGGAGCCACCTTCATTCTGGCGCCTACGTCTACAAAAATCGACAAATTTTATAATAAGCTTATTCCACATACCGTATAAAGTTTTTTTTATAATAATATATAATATAGACCCATATAAAGTTTTCTATATCAAATAATTGCATTTATATTGTATAAAATATTAATTGCGTGACCTGTAATATTTCCTGAAAGCTACCGCTGAAGCACCATGAATATGAGCTCGTATTATATTCGAATATACGAGCTGCTCGTATATTCGATTATTACTATTGGCTTATGTACAATATCGATTTACGCAATGTCGTTAAGTAATATCGAATATTAAACGTCATTTAGTTAAAAGGTTTTTTATGGGAACCTGGGTTATGGTTACATATTATGTATGCTATTAATGCTGTTAGTTTTACCTTCCCAAATTATTAGGGGACAATAAGTTTAAAATATGCTCCAAAGCACCAATTATTGTTTTAAGATATTACACTTACCTAAAGTTCTTATAGTAATAGCTTTACTCATCATTCCTTCTCCAATTGTATTTTTACTGTTTACTTGAAACTCGTATGTGGTGCCCGGTTGGAGACGGTTAATAGTGACCTAGTTGGAGAAAATGCATTGATTATTTGTAAAGGCGTATAATTGTGTAAAAAAGAAATAATTATTGTTTTAGCTCTTAAATTTATTTATTAGTGATGGAAGTAACACTAACTTCTTTTGGCTATTATTTTTTATTTTTAGTTCTAGGCTGCATTCAAGATGAAGCTTGAAATATGAATTTTTGTACATAAATGAGTAAGAACTTCGTGATTTCAACCTGCGTCCTTTGGGTAACGCACGCAGACTTTATACAAACTGAGCTAAGACGATGAACACATGGCTTTGAATCTATAGCGTTCTTCAGTTACCGAGGTTACTGGCACATGCAACGTTCGCCGTTGCCGAATGGGCAGATCCGTCCGGGGACCACGACCTCGCAGAAGACCCGCGTGAAGTGGGAGTGTTATACTTCTGGGTTTCGTATGGTGAGTGAGGTGGCTGGGGCCCACTTTATTAAGGTTGCAGATGCGTTGGCAACTAATACGGTGTAGCTAATTTCCATAGGCGGCGGATATTACTTAACTTCGGGTGTACCGCCAGCACTCCTGCCATCTTCACGATATAGTATAAAACAAATTCGTCCCGCTGTCTGTCTGTCATTATGTATGCTTAGATCTTTAAAACTAGGCAACGAATCTTGATGCGGTTTTTTTTAATAGATAGAGTGATTCAAGAGGAAGGTTTACATGTATAATAAATTGCACCCGTGCGAAGCCGGGGCGGGTCGCTAGTCTTATATAAAAAAGACAAGGCCAGCTGCCGCCGGCGGTCTTTCCGTTACGACCTGGGAACCTTTAAGACGGGAGCATGTTCTTTTCCAAAAGGTCGGTAAGGCAAGCCCTCCAGTGTTGCAGATTTTCATGGGCGGCGGTGGGCACTTTTTTAGGTGGTGAACCTCCTTTATTTTCCATTTTTTTCCGTGGGAAAAATTCTTTATGCATCCCCTGCCATTGGATCGGGGGAGTGGCAGGGGTATGTGGGAGGCCCGGAAACGGGGAACCACTAAAAAACCCCACGTTGCACCTGTCTCTGTCGTATCGGCCGGGGACACGGGAACACGTAGACGCAATCGTCCGTGTGGTGGTGAGCCTCCTGGCCGTTTGCCCCCTTTTTTCCACCAAAAAAAAGAACAAGAAAAATAAAACAGAACGGACTACTTACGGAGGTGGCGCCGGACGGCGTCACGGGGACCTTAGTCCAGTCTGAGTAGCCCGCCTCGCGGTACCATATCGTGTAGTCCTGCTTGTAGTCGGGCCCGCCCGCGTAGCCCGGCTGCCAGCGCAGCGTCACCTGGAACTCCGTGGCGGAGCCGGACACGTTGTACGGCGCGTGCGGCTGCGTGCCCTCTATCACCAGCTGCGTGTCCGCCACTATCGTCGCCACCTGCAGACGGAGACAGCGGTGAGCTTGCCACCCGACACTCCTACTCGGTGGAGTGACGGAGTACGGGTGTTGCAAATGTCAATGGGCGGCGGTTATTACTTGACATGAGGTGAACCGCCTGTCCATAAAAAAAACTCAAATCATTATAATATATATATATGTATATATTTCTTCTGTGCGTGTGTACGACATTCACGATTTTTTGTATGTCTTCAGGTCGATTCGAGAATGTTTTAGATTCACATTATTTTCATTTATAAGTCCCAACGAGAAGGAGAGATAATATAGGGGAGATAAAGCATAATGAGTGACGTGAGAAAAAAGAAAAGATAATAAACATCGAACGGGAAGGGGTCTCACCTCGTTCGAGGCGACGCACTGGTAGATCCCGAAGTCCTGGCGGCGCAGCGTGTCTATGGTGATGTTGCCGGCCAGCGCGCGCACTCGGCTCTTCTGGAGCGGCAGCCCGTCACGCCGGCGCCACGTCACGCTCGGCCTCTGGGTGCCCTCCGCCTCTTGCGCCTCGCAATGCATCTCGACGGACTCGCCGACCTGCCGCCGTCGATGACGTCAGTCGGTCGCACAGTACAACAACACCCATACATCCGCACCTTGTGCGTGGTAGATCACACACCGGGACGTGAAAGATCGATCGCAAAGTACTTATAATAACATCCATACATACATCCACACCTTGAGTGTGTCAGATCAAACACCGAGACGTGAAAGACCGATCACGCAGTAAAATACCATCGATACATCCACACTTTGAACGTGATCGCACAGTTTAATAACATCCATACATCCACACCTCGAGTGTGGTAGATGACACACCGGGACGTGAAAGATCGATCGCATAGTGAAATAACATTCATACATCCACACCTTGAGCGTAAAATTATTGCAGTTTTAAGAGCCGATTTAACACGCTCGGCGGTGAAGGGTAGAATCGTATCTTGACAGAAAAACTGCTTGTTGAACAGATGGTAATAAAAAAATACAACTAACGTTTCCGTAACGCACTACACGTGCTTTTTGTTGGTCGATACCGATACAATTAATTTTCGTCTATTATCCTTCACACTGTAGTTTAAAATGTCGGTAAAAAGTAAAAGTAAAGTAACAGCCTATAAATGTCCCACAGCTGGGCAAAGGCCTCCTCTCTAAAGAGGGTAATCAGAGCATAATCTATCATGCGACCCCATTGCGGATTGGCGGACTTCACATAATTTCGAAATATTTTTTTAATTATTATTTTGAAAATATTCAGGTTTCCTTACGATGTTTTCCTTCACTGCTGAGCACGTGATAATTCATCATTAGTGCTGGCACCTGGGATCCAACTCAGGTTGCTCGAGTAAATGTAAGGCGAGCGCCCGGCCATTGAGCATTATCGGTATTTAGGTAAATGTAAACGGCAAAATGCCAAAGTTGTTAAATATCAAGTTATAATATATTGCTTACCTTTCTTTGATACAGGGGCTCCGGTTCTACAGTAAATACTGGTGGCTTCCGGACTAAAACTTCCATCGGACCTAGGAATTACATTTAACATAAAAAGGTCAAATTACTGAACAAGTAATATTTAAATTTAGTCTAAAGCGCTTAACCTAGTCTTGTTAAATATGTCTACCGATATGCCCATATTTAAACTTAAACACTTAGTAAGAATAAGTTATTTTGAAATTTATTTTCATCCGTAAAGAATAAATACTGTAATTTTGTAGCCGTTAAATAATTGCTGTGATATTTTTTTTATGTGAAAAGTTGCAGACGACAGACGGTTCACCTGATGGCAAGTGAATACCGCCGCCCATGGACATCTGCCTCACCCGAGGGTTACAGATGCGTTGACAACCTTTTGAAAATTGGGCTCCGGCTACCTCACTCACCAAACGAAACGCGAAAGTATTTGTTATACTTCCACTTTACCCTGGTCTTCTGTGAGGTCGTGGTACCCAGCCGGACGGGCCTGCCCATTCGTGCAACAGCCGAGGCTGCTGCGTGGCCCTACCACCGTTATGAATAGGAATATGAATAGGATTGATAAATTATGTATAATATATCAGGTTTTGCCTAAAGTGAATTTTCAATTAGTATATTGGCGACATAATAACAGCTACATGCTATTAAAAAGCCTATTTTTAATTCTGTTGAATGGAGATAGCTATGGCTGTTAATTATTTGATATCTTAATCTACCACAAATTCTTTGTTAAATTATAAAGCTATCCTTAATAGAACTTGTGTTGATTAAATATTTTAAAACACTAATTAGATGCGGCGTCCATACAGGTATCTAAAATTGCTGTGAGCCGTTTTTGAAACACTGAAAAGTATATATAAAAATTTAGCTTCTGTATGTTCGTTTCGACAAAAACTAACCGACGGATCGAATAAATATTTGTTCATAACATAGCTATTGAACAGGGGAGTGTTTTCACACACTTTTTATGACGATGTTCCAGCAAAGACGAAAAACAAAGGCACAGAGAAGCGCGGCACAGCTGGTACAAAACACTTGTATACTAATGCATAATTTGCAATCCCGTACCTGAGGAGCCTTGGGTGCCCTGGGCGTTGTACGGCGTGCAGGTGTACCGGCCCTGGTGGTTCTGGTTGACCCTGGTGAAGAGCAGCGATCCGTTGTTCATGATGACGATGTCCTTCGTCTGGTAGGGCTCTAGTAGGCGCTTGTCCTTCGTCCACGTGACGTACTGCAGGGGCGGGTTCGCCTTTATGTAGCACTGCACCACGCCGGCCAGACGGAACGGCAGGTATTGGACCGTCGGCGTGAACGTCACCTTGGCCGGGTCTGCGAGGAAGCGAAGTACGAGTGTCCGCTTAAATATTTTCCAAGTTCTAGAAGAGCGCCACGATTGAAACCGTTCGCACGGTTCGTTAGCACGATTTCGTTCTTTATTCCGCTTATTGAAGGAACATTATCATAAGTGTTGTAAGGGCGTTTTACACACACACGTTTCACGTGGACAACACAAATCTGAAACAATTATCTATGCGTCACACAAATAGTTGTTTCGTGTGGGAATCGAACCCAAGACCACCGGCGCCGAAGCTAATACCTTGGCAGCTGCGCCACGGAGTTAAGTTTTATTAAAGAACTGTCTACGGAAATTGAGGATTAACGAGAGCTATGCTATGAGTTTTTCAAACATCTCGGTTTTCGCGGTTAAATTAAATTGAGTAGTAAAGAGCTCTTACGTTTGGAATGGTATTGAATTGTTCAAGCATAGATTGAAGTTACTTGTAGTTGAGTATTTGAAGCTATTCTGCCATTTAAAGTCAAACGTACAATCGTACGTATTTATTCCATTGAAATGAGGCACATAATAAGGAGCCAGTGGTTCTAGACTATAAGCGGACATTGCGTATACAAAATATTCCGATCTACCGTGGCCCTCACCACTCCCAGCAAGCAATTTACTCAGCTACCGTCATAAGGGTCGAATAGGTAGCTACAACTATCCTTAGGCTGCTACAGACATGACGATGTTCGCATGTGTTGTCACCACGTAGTCTTACAGGCTCTTAGCCCGCCCTGTGGCTTTGTATCCAATAAGCCTTTGGATAGCCATGATACGTTAAAGACACAAACTTTCAGTATATGAATTCATTAACAGAGGTTAAAGCGGTGTGCGTCTAAAAAATCCATATGCGTATATTCCACACTAAGACACAAACTTTCGAATTTATAGTATCCGTGCGATATATGGACTCATTATCGGAGACTGAAGCGGTGAAGAAGAAGTGTACTAACAGGCAAAGGCCTTCTACTTACAGAGGGTGTCAGTCCACCAGGCGATCACTGCAGATTGGCAAGATTTCACGTTATAATATCTTGGAAATACTTTTTTTCGTTATTATTTCGAAAATATGCAGGCTCCTCGCGATGTTTACCCTCGCCGCTGAGCACGCGTAAGTCAGCACTTAAAATTAACAATTTCATTGGTACCGCCGGCACCGGGGGATCAATCTTGGGTTGCCCGAGTTAAAAGGCGAGCGCGCAGACATCGAGCTATCACGTCACAGTGTGGTGTGCGTTTAAAAACTCAGATGCGTACATTCCACGTTGAGGTACGCGGAGGCGCTCTGCGGGTCGCCGATCCCGTTTGAGACCTCGCAGAGGTACTGGCCGGAGTCGTCGGCGGCCACCGGGTTGATGAGCAGGGCGCCGTCGCGGCGGATGGTGATGCGCGTCTCGAGCGCGGCCACCTCCGCCACGGGGGCGCCCTCCCGGAACCACTTCACGGTCACGTTGCCGGGCAGCGCCTTCGCCTCGCAGGAGAACTGCACCTTCTCGCCCTCCAGCTTCGTCTGGTTCGTAGGCGGCATCTTCGCAGGCGAAACGTCGTGATTGAAATTTTGTGGCACGCGCGCACAGATCTTATTTTTACTCACAGGTCCACCTGATGTTAAGTGAATATCGCCGCCCATAGACATCTGATACACCCGAGGGTTACAGATGCGTTGACAACCTTTTGAAAATTGGGCTCCGGCTACCTCACTCACCAGACGAAACGCGAAAGTATTTGTCATACTTCCACTTTACGCCGGTCTTCTGTGAGGTCGTGGTACTTACCCGGACGAGCTTTCCCATTCGTGCAACAGCCGAGGCTGCTGCGTGGCCCTACCATCGTAAAGTGTCTATATATTATGTTTCGTAATACGGTATTGTAACTGTCTTATTTAAATTTATATCTCTCTTTTTTAAAATCTCTTTCATTTAAATTGTATACAACTAAAGTGAAATTATGTATAGCGCCTCGTGACAGATTAAAATATAAAATAAAGTATTTATTGGTACGTATTAAACGCAACCATTAAAGAATTACTAGTCAAAATAATAGAACATATATTTTCAATGAATATTTAATCTGTCTACATTGATTTGTTAAGAGCATTTTATTGTAACAACTTATCTAATATTTTTTTCTGAAAGATGTGTTGTAATTCTAGTGTTGAAACTCGCACATTCAAGTTAACAAACAATAAAGCTATGTGAGTTTACACTGAGCCGCTTATTCGTATTACGTAAAGGCAATTCTCTGTTCAAATATCAAATGAAATTCGTTCGTTATAATGGTATCGGATAAATGGCCCTTTCTCGTAATAATGCTCATTCCAAATGCGATGAGCTTAATTGCGCCCGCGGGCGGAGGCGCTTTTAATTTTAGCGTTGTTTGTACATTAATTACTTACGAGACAAATAATCGAATGTCTATTTATACAAGTTCGGCTGCTGTTATAACGGTTACCTGGTCAATAATTGCTCAAAAGAGCTATTCGAATTTCTGGCAAATGTTTGTACGTAGGTATGAAGAACGTTTCAGAACAGATCTGCATTTGATAGTCAGTGAACAGAAAGGCAGAGTTTTCCACCCCGACCCCGAATAATTTAAACGGTCTTAGGTAGGCAAAAAGAAAACAAACAAGAAGTTGAAACAAAAATCACGTTCCGACTCCTCTCTCCAGTAAACTGACGATAGAATCGGCTAAGAACACGAGAAGTAAACAATTACAAAGGATAAACTCCAACTGAGTTCAGCTGCTAACTAAATTAACAAAGCCTATGTGGTTGATATGAGCAAAGTTTAAAACGTACCGTGATCACGGCCCCGCCAGCAATAATGACCCTCGCTGTATGCGAGACCTGGCCTTCACCATTCCGCGCTATGCACGTGTAATCCCCGATGTCTTCGTGCCTGATGTTGCTGATCCTCAGCTCGGTGCCGTCGTTGAAGATGCCGACGGTGCCCGATGGCTCGACGGGGTTCGCGTCCTTGTACCATAGGATCTCGGGTGTGGGGGTGCCCTCCGCTTGGCAGTTAAGGATGATCGCGTCTCCTGCAATTCATGCCGCCCTGGTCATTGGACTATCCAATCTCTATATACAAATCTTCTATCAAAGTGGTTGTTTTATACCGACACAGTAACTGCTTCTTTAGTAATCTGTAAGGCATTTGTTAGCTATAACAAATTGTTGAACGTATTTTTATAAGCAGATGGCAAACGCAGATCTTCATATTTTGGTAATGATGTTAAGTGATTACCGCCGCAATTGTTAGCACGATGATGATGATGATTACTTCGCCGATCAACACCTGAACATCCTTAGGACATCTAGAGTGGTAGGACCTCATAGCAACTGGGTCATCACGTCCTCACTTGATCGGCTTGAAGTGGGAGTCTTGTGTTTTCGCGTTTCGTCTGGTGAGGGAGGTAGCCAGGGTACAAATCTGTTGCAGATGTCCACTTGCGATGGTAATCACTTAACATCAGGTGGACCATCTTGCTGCTTGTTTTATATTAATAAAAATATGAAATGAATGTGAAAGAGATCGGTTCTTAGACGACGGCTGCTATAAGTGGAAGAGAAGGGAATGTTATGGCGACTCTAAGTGTGCGATAGGAGCAAGAGAAAGAAGAGATGTTGTAAGTGGGTCGAGAACACGAATTGAATACCAACCTAAATTAACGTATATAATGTCTTCCGGTGTGATGGAGAAGCGTGGCGGCGCGTGCACGTCCAGGTGGAACCACGTTCCGTTCTTGTGTTGGTTTGGCGATCGGTTGAGGAAAACCACCTTACATTCGTACCAACCCTGCGAGCGAAAAACTTTGGTATACTATGACTAATTGCAATAGCTTTGCACATCAACAAAGTATTATTGGAGTGGCAGTAGAGATGTGTGACTGTCATCATCATCATCATAATTTCAGCCTGTTGTAGCGTCCACTGCCGGCCCACGCACTGCCACGAATCACGATCCTGAGTCACCTGCACCTAACATTTGTATAAGTATTAGTCACTCTATTTATTGGGCGGTTGTGATGGCCAGTACGAGGCTGCCACTCGAGAACTCAGGCATGTGTCTGAACGGATATGTATATAGCTACGTGGTTGGTAAGCTATGAATCACATGTTAATGGTATTGGCCACGTAGGTCGTATAAGGACAAGAGAAACAAGAAGATGACTCTATGGATAGTTCAATTGTCGTGGTGAGCCTTACCAATTGCCACTGCTGTTGTGATCTCGACTATGTTGTGATTTCGACCCTTACACGGTACTTAATGTGATCCCTAAATGTTGACGTGTATGAATGAATTAGTAAATAAATGATAATTGTATGTTTTAAATGTAACCCAAGCGACGCATTGCAAAATATTGCATAAATATGACATTTTTGCAAGAATGCCTCAGAGTATAGAGAGTATAGACCAGTTTCAAGTTCATAAAATTTAGTTATTACATCAGCCAAACGTCTCTACAGTCATTGTATACACTGCACAACACATTAAAACGTGTACATATAATGTAATAGCTTCTCATACAATAACTTCTTAACATATTTATAGCTTTCCCCGCAGTTAAAACCGTAGGCGGGCATGCAAACTTTATTCACAAAGACTCGGAAATGCAGCAGATATGTTACGAAACGGCGACGTTGAAAATGAATGCCGTAGACATGGGAAAACTCGCTTGGGAATTAAAACGTATAAGAGAGATAAAAAGTTGTTAGTTTATCTCCACCGGTTGTCTGTTTACCATCGTTCTGATTATTGTTTACATGTTTGAGTCGTTTCCGTCAACCGTGAGTGAATGAAATTATTCTCGTAATCAGAAAATTAAATATATCCATTCCATCCATCCATAATGTTACTAATGCATCACATTCATGTCATTAGGAATAAGAAAACAATACTACGTCGTAAGAATTTCATTGAGATTTTCAAAAATTATGCTATGGTCTATTGGCAGGATTGGCACGTGGTTTCAGGGTTAAATAAGTGTGTGTGTACTTACTACGCACGTACGTAAGAAGTAATTTAAAATTATATTACATTAGAATATTTTGCGGTTTTGACACATTACTAAAACATACATAAATAATACAGTAACAATAACACTCCCCTACCGATGGCTTCCGTCTGGTTGGGTCCTATTTATTTTTGTATTATATATAATATTTATTTCTATATGTTTATTTTTATTTATAAACCCAACCAGACGAAAAAGCGAATAAATACCCGCTAAATAATAATACATACATAAAGTGAGATTTATCGACTAACTTCACCAATACGTCCTCACCCTCTCTTCTGTAATGCGCCAAAAGAACTTAAGCTTAAACAACGTTACGGAGTCCATTACCTGGTCAGTTTCTCGTATATTCGTGAGATTGAGACTGGCCGCGCCGTAAGGGGAGTCCGGGGCGACGCGTGACACCCTCCCTTCGTAGCCCTCCCCACTGTGGGTTGGGTAGCTCTCATACCAGATGTAGATCGGGATGTCCTGCCCCTACACACATCCAATCTTTATTAACACTCGTTTTTATACTGGCGCGTAATTCCGACGCTTTCTTTTAAATACATCGACATACGTTTCTATAATACTTTAATACTTCCAACAATGTTTGGTAGTCCTCGTGAAATTATCCATTTCCCCGTCTTGAAAGGTTAATGGAAAGCAATCAAATAAACATAAAATGAGCGCTTTCACAAAATCTTGTTGTTCGTTTTTTTTAAATGGTCCAAACTTTCTTTACGTTTTCGAACAATATTTTGTGAACGACTGCAACACTACAAGATGCATGCACGATAAATGTCTAAATACTTTAACTACATCTCAAAGGTACATCTGAATACGAGTATATAGTAAATACTTTACAAAAGATCGACTGATATAAGATACAGAAATTAATCATCAATCAGTTTCATAAACATACATTAAGTCAGAGATGTTTTTGTATGCAATGGAGCTGATTGCGGTGAGGATCACTATCTACGAGACGTGTACGTACAATTGTGATGGAGACAAAAAGCATGCGGTATGCAGTTTGAAGGGTGAAAAAACAGACATAGAGGCTATGCTACAACTGCAGACAGCGTGGGGGAACCCACAGCCACAGGAAGAGAGAAACAGACAGAACCGCCGCCAGTGCGCAAGGGAGTGCGCGTGCCCCGACCCAGCCTTGAAGCTATGTGCTCCCGATGCTAACTTGGATAAAAATTTGGTGCACCCAAAAACGGAAAGGAAAACGATAAACAATATCCATTTGCAGATCGAAAAGGTCTTATCTATCGTATATGTAAAGTGGTGGTGTATGTGTTTTGTCTTTGAAATCTAACGGGGGTCTGCTGCTCTCTCAGACACGCTTCGTAGGCCTTTGTCACTGTGGTACGTCGCCGTGGGCGACTGGCGCGTTAGGTACATTAGGCGGTATGCTGAAGAGGCGTAGGTACATAAAGGCGTGCGGGGGGGCGCGCGCGGGTGCGGGGGCCGTGGGGGGCGCACCCGACCCGCGGCGCCACTTTACCACTAGCACGGGACAAAGCCGCAACCGACACGGCACCTCAACTTATACTTTACTGTCAGCCGCGCCTCGCACGGAGGAGTCGTCCTCTACTAACAGAAACACATGGTTCATGAGCAGCGTTGTATTGTAAGAGTGGAGTGTGGGCCACCGTACCGTTTCGCCTACCTTCTTCTCCCACTGCAACACGTACGGCACCGGGATGTCTTCGGGGAAGTCCACCTGACAGTTGAACACGACACTCTCGCCGAGGATCGCCGTGATGTGCACGGCATCTTGGTGATCTTGGTGGCAGGTTACTGGAAGGAGTGCTGCCGTTGTGTAATTGTTATAATTGAACAACCTTACCAAAAAACTAAGAGGTGAGAAGTTAATATCGACTTGAAACTTAGGCAGCAAGCACAGATTGTTTCATTACCGTTTGACATTTTAGATCAAATAAGCTCAGGGGCAAGTGAAAATAGTTCTCTCTACCTTATATGCTTTGAGATGAATTTGAATATAATCATTTATTTTACCAATCTTAGACAAAGTCTACTTTTATCTTTTGTTTCTTTTTTATTTGCCTAGTAGTAAAGGCAGAGATAACGCTCTATTATAAAAGTATTTCTTAATGTATTGTAAATTCGGTAAATATATAGAGGATCGTAACGGTTTTCTTTTGAAATTTATGTCACCGTCACAACACGGACTCGTTTTTATGCGATACCGTGGGAGAGCTGTGCAGTGCGTTCTAGTGGAAGCTAAATTGAAACTGTCTCCATTACCATTCGCGGTATTTTAATATTCAAACATTTTTAATAATGAAATTGAACAAGCATTTTTTCCCTCGCGTTTCGATGTACTTTTAAAACCACATTAAATTCGTGGACGTTCTGACACAGAAACGTTTCACTTTCACTCGGCTATTAAACATTTAAAGAGGGTTATTTTGCGAATGAGCATTTTCGAGCAATCTTAATAGGTGTCGCTTTATGTAGGAAGAAAGGAAGTCTTTAAAGATAAAGCTACAAGCTGTTATAATTGCAAGTTCAAAATGAATGCTACGCTCATTTATCTCGTTATCTATTCCTGTCGCTATAGAAAGACGGCTTTAATGACCTTTTCAGTGGGCATTTGAACCAGATAAAAAGGCGGCACGAGGAGAACCAACGCTTTACTAATTGCGCAGTTGATTTTTTCTACAGCAACCAGCGAGACAAATTTGTGTTGATTAAAGTTTGTACGTTTGAAATATAAGTAGTAGCGAAAGTTATACATTGCTGTGGTATGGACTAGTTTTCTTCGCATTTTATACATATGGTTTTAACCAAATGAAATAACTTCTTCTGATTCTAGTTTAGGTCTTTTTTAATGTCTTGACATATTCTTATTTTGGTATCGATACGTACTGAAAATTATATTGACGGCAAAGAAACTAAATATTGCTTTACAATAATATTGAAGGGCTGTAGTTGTAACTATCTGTTTGCAGAGGTATACTATAACGTAAAAATTTATAAAGAGAAGTCTCATATTTATTATGCTAACTGAAGTGGTATTTTAGCCGCACAGTACGGTCTGTTTGTTGAAAGCAAACCATTACGTATCCAATAGTATAATCTTTATATACATCTGACGTCAAACTCTAGTCGCTAACATGATCTTATACTTAAATATTATTCAGCTGAATTCGAGTAGTAGAGAGTTATTCCACTATAAAAAGAAAACCTAGAAAGCGTTGCGATCGATGAATGCATCGAGACTACTTACATTTTATTATTTATAAACATCTTCACAATACAAAGTTTTTACTATGTGAGAAGGTGGCAAACAAGCTGGCAGTTCACCTGATGTTAAGTGATAAATGCCGCCTATGGACATGTGCAACGCCCGTAGGGTTGGAGATGCGTTGTCACCTTTTGATAAAGTGGGCCCCGTTTACCTTACTCAACAGTAAACAGAAATATTACACTTCCACTCCGTGTCAGTCTTTTGTGAGGTCGTGGTACCTACTTAACCGGACAGACCTTGCTTCTCGTGCAACGACGAGTACTGTTACGTGGTACTGTTCCATAGTCAAATTTGTGATCAATTATTTGGATCGCATCATCTTTATGGTACCGGATATCCCTTGATTGTATGGATGTTAGGGACTTGGCACCCACATTGAAGACAAGAGTTGCAAGAGGGAGCTATGAAAAACACAACGAACACTTGTGATAAAATGTATGTGTGTACTTATGTACTTCTTTGTCGTAACGAAAGGAAAAAAAAAAATAAAACGTTAAAGAAACTTAGAATTATAAGTAAATGTCAAAAAGTTGTGAATTTGCAACCAACTTCATGTTGCGTTTTGACTGTCGGTGTGCGCCCACATCATAAAAAATTTTATCTCATACTTTTTCCAAATGCTACAAAAAAATTATAACTTCAATAATATTTAATAATTGATGGTAACAGAAAGCATGAAATCGCATTTGAATGTTTACATAATTAAGTAAACATTTTTTGGCTTGATCTGTATCGCCTTTCGTGCGAACGTAATTTGTTTCATTCCATTTGTAATCTGTGGGCAACTCGATCGCCATTCGTTAGCGTGTACAAATGGTAAATCCGCATTAATCATAGCGCATGACATAAATCAAAGCAGATTTCCGATGTTTTTGCTCAACGTTTGACATGTCGGTATAACAAATGCCAATAAGATAAAAATGGGTGTAAAACCTAGAATCCGTCGGTTTATTTTGATTTCCCGCCAATTGATATTGAAAGGGATAAAAATGTTCCATGCAAAACGTTCTTGTTTTATTTGTGTTTTTTTTTTTCAGATTTCTTTAATTTATTTTGTTATTTGATTGGTAAGTAAGCTTCAAATTTAAGCTTCAGATAGTAATTTGTGTAAATATGAGATATTGCGACAATTTCATGTTTTTGCTCTCAATCCGTAGAATAATAAAACTTCTTCGAGCGCAAACCTCGGTAACTATCCAGAACCCATAAGCTTTATACGCCTTCTTCCACGTTTGGTAAGGCCGCGTATGTGTCTATGTGCCCGTTATTTTATATGGGGTATTTCACCCACGTGCCATTGAGGTTCGGTACGGACTGACCCCGATGGCTTGTTGTCACCGAAGCGTTGGGAATTCGAAATAATGCGATATGAATATGTAAAAAAAGTTTCATAACACAACGTGTAGGGTTCGCTAATTCAGTTATTGTTATATTAATTCAAACTTAAATAATTATACAGTTGCAAATATTATTTTTAATTGTGTAAAACACTCAAACCGTTATAACAAAAATCCATTACTGTTCTTGTTATTTTACTGTTTTTTTTTCTTGTTCTTGTATGTATGAACGTCAATAATGATGTTCATACATACACACATAACAATTAAATTTGGTGATTACAAATCAACAAATTTAATTTGTTTGTTGTTGATTACAAATCAACAAATTTAATTGTGTAAATAATGCAGTTCATACACATTCATTTAGAATTTTGTATAATGTTCGCGTCACAAAATAATATTACGTTAGCAGAATGCTGACCAATTTAGTCTGCTGACCTAATACTGTTAGCTGATTTATGGTTAACAAAATTTTTCTCCAACTTCGGCGATGTCGTAAATATGTCGTCTATCTAAAAATACTTCAGACACCACTTTCAGAATTTATGTAGAAGGACAGGGATAATAGATTTGTAGTGTTATGATTGATGGAAAATTAATGGAGTTTGCGGCAGCTCTTGCGAAATTTAATGTAATTAAAATATTCAACCTAAATAACGAAAATTCCAGTCTCAAGGCTGTCTACTCATAGGTTAGTTCTCAGAAGCATTGACAGATAACGTATTTTTTTATGTGAGAAAGTGGCAAACTTGTTGGCGGTTCACCTGATGTTAAGTGATACTCGCCTGCCCATCGACATTTGCAACACCCGTAGGGTTACAGATGCGTTGCCACCTTTAATAATGTGGGCCCCGGCTACCTCACTCACCAGACGAAACGCAGAAGTGCAACACTTCTACTTTACGCCGGTCTTCTGTGAGGTCGTGGTACTAAACCGGACGGACCTGCCCATTCATGCAACAGCGAACACTGTTGCGTGGCCCTACCACCGTAAAAAAATGTTTCTGTTGTTGTTTTCCATCGGGATATAATTATTATTTGTGGTTTACCACCGATTTAAGTATTTCTTTAACATCACTTAGTTAAAAAGTGTTTTAAGGTGAGCATAAAATTATCTATCGTTTTCCACATAAACAATTGTTTACTTTTGACCTGCAAAAAAATTTAATGGCGTTCGCTTTCAAATATAATCGAACAGCCCGATTTAAAATCCCAGTGATGGCACCCAAGATGTTGTTGATCGGAATTTCACTGTTGCACGAATGGGCAGGCTCATCCGGGGAAGTAGCACGGCCTCGCAGAAGGCCAACGTGATGTGGAAGTAACATACATTTACGTTTCGTCTGGGCAGTGATGTAACCGGAGTCGCTTTTTTTAAAGATTGTCAACGCAACTACAACCCTTTTGGGAAGATGTCAATGGGCGGCGTTAATCACTCAAGATTAAGTGAACCGCTTACCCGCTTGATATTATTTCATAAAAAAAAGTTGATGATTTATCACGCGCTTGACAGTGACCAAAACATTGTGTGCAAACCTTCATATCTAAGAAATAATAAAAACAAATATAATGTTCCTAAGATATGCGAAAACTGTTTTCACTAAAAACTGTGGTAGTACTACGCAACAGTCCACGTTGTTGCACGAATACACAGGTCCGCCTGGGGAAGTATCACAACCTCACAGAAGACCAGCGTGAAGTGGAAGTTCACACTTCTGTGTTGTGTATGGGGAGTGAGGTAACCGGAGCACACTTTGTTAAAAGGTGGCAACGCATCTGTAACCCTACGATGTTGCGAATGTCCATTGGCGGCGGATATCACTTAAAATCAGGTGAACCGCTAGCCCGCTTGCCACCTTCTCACATAAAAAAATCCCGTAGCTACACTGTGTACAGAGGAGGGTTCTGGCCAAGGCGTTTAGATTTAGTTCCCAAGCATCAGCGGGGCCGACAGTTAGATGTGATCATATTAAAAACGATTATAGCTATTCGATGTAATTTCCAGCAATCGGATTAAGTTAACAGCTTAAGTTAAAAACTGCAGACACTGATTTAGAATAGTTAAGTGGTGCACCGATATAGACGTTCAACGCTTGCTATCAAGCCTCGTAAATTGTAACTGTTCACAAGACAATTTCGTTGAAAGTTCGCCGTCTGGCAGCTCGTAACTCGTCGAGTTTGAAGTGCAAAACTCTCGCCCTAAATGTCACGACATTAAAGTTGCCGGAGGACTCTGATCTCGGCGTGGCGTTAGTGTTCAAACATTTCCTTTTTATGCGCAATACAAGCTCACATATTTTTCAAGAAGAAGGTTTGGTTTTTGAGGGGTATAAATTCAACTCCCACAACGTACGCGGGTTAGTTTTTGGTTATCGGTAGTTAAGGGCTGTTGCTGTGTTGGAAAAGCTAGGTGCTATTGTTATCCAATTATTGAGTCACCGTTGAGTTATAGTTGTGTAAGTCGGTAAAAGCTGTATTTTATAACTTGTCTCCAACAAACTCTGTTGGAAAAGCTAAGTATTTTTGTTACCCAATTATTGAGTCATTGAGTTTTAGTTATACAAATCGGTAAAGGCTATGTTTTATATCTTGTCTCTAATAATTAGGTAAAAGAAACTAAATCGCTATAACCTTAAAAGATACGTTGTTACAGTATTTATATAGATACAAATAATGCTGGAGAGGTTTCTTGCAATTTTGGTATGATATGATTGCCGTCATTAACGTAATCAAATAAAGTATTTATTTCACAAGCAAAATTTTTAGAAGTTTTTTTTTAAGTAATAAATTTAGTAATAAAATTTAATAAAAACTACTTAATTGATTATAATAAGTCGAGAAATATACTATCTATTTTTAATGTACTTAATCTTGATTAGGGTACCATAGTCGTAGCTGGTATCCGCTAGAAACCAGTAAAGTTTGTTCATTCTTCCCTTGGAGACGTCACATTGTAATTTGTAATAGGAGGGAAAGACGGCAGTGGGCGAATTTTTCAATTTATGTGCAGTACGTATTAAGAACGATGAGTCAAATCTCTTAGTTTGATTGTCAACAAGAAAAGAACGGCCCGCTGAGTATCTAGTCGTTTAATGGTTGTTTGGGGAGAATAAATAATGTATTTCACAAATACTCACCGAAATATATCCCAAAGAATATTCTGGAGTATTTTTAAAAGTGATTTTGTTGAAAAATATATGAAGTTTTTTAAAATTAAAAAAAAATCTAAGTGCAGAGAGTAATAAATATAATTGAAAAATTCAAAGGTATGTTATATTATATATACGCCTGTGCTCAAGACTGGCCAGATTTTATTCTGTCTGTCCCAACGCCAGTTTACATATGAAAGAAGTATTTCAAATGCGGTGGGACTTACGTTTTAGGGCACATTTTCATTGTATGGCAGGTATCTCATTCCGTGAACGAGAGAGTTCTCAAAACGATTTAAACTGCGGGAACGAGAGGGCTGATACCTTCAAAGATACCTTCAAATGCTGAGCAGTTACTCGAACGATTTCAAGCCGAGTGCGCAGTGACTCGCACAAACTTCAAGCAGAGTGCGCAATGACTCGGGCCTACTTCAAGCAGAGTGCGCAACGACTCGGGCGAACTTCACAGGGACTACAAAGGTTCGTGTTTCCCATACAGCGTGTAACGATGATTGATGGACTTCAGTGGGTGTGGTCAACCCACCGCCACCCACGGCCCCACCACACGGTTATATGGGCCGAATCGCCGTTGCACGTGGTCTCGCCGTAGTAGTAGGTGTGGTCTATTTGGAAAGTGTGAGGGTTACCCGGCAGGTTGACTAGCAGCAGGAGGAGCAGGCCGGCGGCGAGGTGCGGCGGGTGCTCAGCGCGCCAGCCCATGCCTGCACTCCCATGTCACGGCCGCGCGCGGCGACTCATCGTCGATACATCACCTGTCAATAACCATACATTGTATTAAGAGAACATTTTTTTTCATGTGAAAAGTTGACAAGCTAGCATGCGGTAAGTGAATACCGCCGCCAATGGACATCTGCTACAACGGGGTTACAAATGCGTTAACAACCTTTTGAAAATTGGTCTTCGGCTACCTCATTCACCAGATGAAACGCGAAAGTATTTGTTATACTTCCACTTTACGCCGGTCTTTTGTGAGGTCGTGGTACTTACCCGGACGAGCCTGCCCATTCGTGCAACAGCCGACGCTGCTGCGTGGCCCAACCACAGTTAAACATAATATTGGTATTTTCTAATGACGCAGAATGCTGTGAACTTTGTATATAAAGACATTGTGCAGTATTTAGTATCAGCATTGCACCCGTGTGAAGCCGGGGCGGGTAGCATTACAGTACATTATATTGCGACGTTGTATAGAGGAGCTATATAAAATTAAAGGCCGGAGAGGAGAGTAGTAGCGTTGAGATGCGAATATTGTGGATATCGAGCTCAAGGAGCAATACGAGTTTCGTGACATCATCTCAAAATGTTATCAATTTAAAAGTAATAATTTTGATTATAAAGCGATTATTCCGAATAATGTTTCTTTAACTGTACTTAACAATATATTTGTCAACACAATAAGGTATTGTGACGGCACATCGCCACATCTCAGTCGCCCAAATAAATCACCAATACCCTTAACTTAACAGGTGTCCGACCGAAACTGGTTTTTACGGCCGAAACCGAAACCGAATTTCGGCAACAGTCTCAGTTTCGGCCAAAACCGAATCTTTTTTATAGAAGTTTCGGATCATGTTTTGAGAAAAAATTAAATATCTTTATATCATATAGTTATGGAGTCTTCGACATTTTCACTTATTGCTATGATAATTAACAACCCCACTTAAGAAAAAAATATTAATTGCGCCTTAAAAAGACTTAAAATATGTTTATTTGAGTAGGTAGATTCTTTTTTTGACTATTATTCATGGTTATTTTAAATATTAAACATAAAATTACCTATTTTAGTTGTTACCTAATATAACAATAGGCATAACATAGACTAAATATTTAGGTAATAAACAAAACAAAATAAATCTCTTTTATCTTAACAACAAATTAACTTCTAAACTTATTAGTGATTTTCTATGACTTTCAGTAAACAAAAACAAAAATGTAAAAGCCGATAATAATTTCAGAGCCACTTTTCTCAAAGAAGTTTCGCTTCCTTAAATTTTTATGTGACAATTTGTGAGGTACAAGGACAAGTAAGGTCAAAGATTATTTTGCGGCTTATTACAAATATTATTAGAAATTTACTTGATGCGTAAGATGTGTTTTTTGTACATTTAATAATTTGTATTTTTATTAATGTGTTTTTATTAATTAGTCAGCTGTCAGACGATTTAGATTCGTTGAACCTCGCAGCGTCAAATAATTGACAGTACCACATTGGCTAGTTGACGAACATGAATCAACGTTGACGAAAAAACCTTCAACGACCCATCGCTAGTCTTCGTCGCTTGCTTGCATGGATGGAATTTAACGCGCTGATCATTACCGATCATAGCGCGAGAACTCCCGAATGCAGTTTCGGTTCGGCAGGTTTGGCGCCGAAACCGAAACTAAACCGAAACTAGTTTTTTTGCCGTAACTCGACCGAAACCGTAACCGAACATTCGGTCGGACACTATTAATAGGTACTTAGGTAGGTTTGAATTGATCACTATTGGCACTGATTACATTTTAATTACTTCTAATTGAATTAATCAACATCTTTTCTATTGATACTTATTTAATGAGGCAGCAGTTTCACATATAGTGGACCTGTCTACAAGGGCCCAAAAGAAATACTTAGGGCGGCTATTTTAGTCTTACCAGTTAGTTCTTATTACCAGTATGTCTGTGATTATAAGTACGCAAAGTACCTACGTATTTCATAATACTTTTTATACCTTTGTTTCTTTAAAAATCGACATCAGAACTGTTACTTATTATGAATCCAACGACAAATAAAATGAATTCTTCGAACTTGCGCGAACAATACAGAGATTTTAAAGCGATGAGATTTTTTTAATAGATGTAAATGGCTGCAGTGAATCCTACAGAGGCGAGTGGGGGCAGTGAAGAACGGATAAGTCCACCGCAGCAGAAAAGCGTTGTTTCAAAACAAACGGGGTGGAAGAGAATCGCCCCTTTTGTTCAGCTAATTCCCAGTAAGAAAATTCAAGACAACGGAGTGTCGCCATTTAGAGAGGGTATGCGATTGGTCCCTTGGCCCCGGTCCGCTGTGCGCCACCGAGACCTATCCCGGTAATTTATCTTATCGCCTTGTCACAATTGGACGGAAAAACTGATATTTGTTCTAATCCAGAATAAACTAAGTCTAATGGATTACATTTGAAGTAGAGACAACTAAGAAGATTAGACGTAAGAGTAACAAAAGAGACTTGCGTTTCTTTGTTACTCTTACGTCTAATCTTCTTAGGTCTTGAATATACGTTCTAAAAACAAAAAAATTTGTCGAGTTCCAAATAAGTAAGATGCAAGTGAATACTTTAAATGTTATTTATGGGCTTTAATACTTGTCGTTCGATTGATGGATATAGATGAACGCTTTTGAAAAAACTGTTTTAAGACAGACTTGGTTTGTTTTCTTCAATATTTCAATTCAAATAAAATACCTGTCCGATGACATTCGTTGACATGACATGGCATTCGTGACATGACATGACATTCGTCAACATCACACATGATGATGATGGAATTCGAATTATTTATTTATTCATAGTAATGTTTCATAAATCACGTTGCTTTGTGTTGTTGTACAATAAAATATAAACATCTGAAACAATGACACGCTTTTAGCAAAATTTAATTTTAATTCCGCTGCTTTGTTATTGAAATGGAAAACAATTGGAAAGCATTTCACACTGTTTTCACTGTGTTCAAGCTTTTGGTTTCGCTTATGATTAATTTAATGTAGTTTTAAGTATGGGTTTATATGTTAGTAATAAATCCAAATCGACGTTTTGTTGTAAGCTGGGCGATGAAGTGGGAAAATTAAAAAAGGAATAAAAATATGGGAATGAGTGTCAGATTGGAGCAAAAAAGTAAAAATTGCCTCTGCCCACTCCAATGATACTAGACTAGGAGTTGTATTAGTTTTTCGTTTAAAAACCTTTTGTCAATTATATATCTGCAAGTATACATTATACAAGTGTTAATTATACATCGTCTCAATTCAATAATGTCAAATAATGCACGATGGCATGCTAATTATACTGCATTGTTTGGTAATTGGCAGTTTTTACCTAAATATTGATTTATTATTTGATTGATTTCCGTAACCAGCAGCAACTGTTGGTGCATGGCTCCGAGTCGCGGTCCGCCCTTGGACTATTTCGAACTGGCTTGACCTTAATTGCACTGTATCACGGTACACGCTTTCGTCGAGGGTTGCCGGATGACCACCGCCACAAGAGCTTGATAATTTTAATTTAATTCATCAAAAAATTATACTAATACTTTTTTAAATAATACATCATGTAACATGGCTTCACGATAGCTAATGGAAAGTTATTATTTTTTCTTCGTATTCTCGGAAAGGCATAGTCAACAATAACAATGTCTCCCCATTTCTTAACAGCCGTTTTGTACTAATTTTTTTCCTTATAATATAGCTTGTCGAAATTTAAGCAGGTTAAAAAAAGGGTTATTAAAATTTTGTATTCTATGACCTTTTCTAGTTTTTGTAAAATCATTTAATTTTCAAACATTCACGGAAACCGAAATAAAGGTGTAATAGGGTTATCGAAAAAAAGAGCACGAATTCATAATTTTACTCGTGAAAGAAACATCAGACGACAAATTTGATTTATAGTTATTGCGTTGTGGTAGCCCTAAATATGACCGCCAACTACCCCAACTAGTACTTACCCTCAACGCCCAGTTCTTGTGGCTATTTAACGTGTTAGCTTATCGATTATTCCATGCCACGTTTCATGTCCTACGTATATCAACACTTTGATTTCAAACATAATTGATTTGTAAAAATCCAGTTTCCTACTGGTTTAACTAGTTTAAGTACTTTTAAAATTGGGGGTTTGTTTTCGGTTATTATCAGGAGAATACCATACAATTATCGGATATAGTCTATACGGCATTCATTTTGCATTAATTCTGTTTTCAATATTTTCCTGAAAACAATCCCGTAGTACGATACAAAAATATCGTATGAATGACTGTGGATGTCCAAATATGTTCACTAATAATTATAGACCTTTAATACAATCACACTTGTGGAATCTGGCTGTTCTACGGGGTCTGCGTAAAATGAAGCTTTATTAGTTCATGAATTGAATGCTAGAGCATCATCATTCAGTTTTAGATAACCTTTTTACCCAGTCCCTTGCTACAATTCCTCAAGCGGCGATCGTGTTTATTTATTTATGAATAAAAAGGCGGACTTAATGCCATTGGTATTAAGTTCGCCTTATGTCCCATCGGCATTATCTATTCAATTGAAAAATTAAAAAAAAATATTATACTTCTGCGTTTCATCTGGTGTGTGAAGAAGCCGGGCCCCACTTTTTTAAAAGGTGGCAACTCATTTGCAACACACGTAGTGTCAGTCAGTCAATGGGCGAGGGACGATTATAACTTAACATCACCTGAACTATCCGCTCGTTTGCGACATTTTCACATAAAAAAAACTACATACTTTTATATTTAACAAACAAGTGAATCGCATGAATTGCGAATTGACTAAATTGTCAGTAATCATGGTTCCAGCACTCTATCATTACTTAAAATTCTTATAAAGACCATAATGAACTTTCAGCAAAGCTATCACAAACAAAAAGACAGTGAATATTTATAATTTTGTGTAGGATAAGTAAATAAAAATGTTTTAGAGAAGACCAAATTGTATTACTGAACGAAGAGAACCAACAAGGGTCCTCTTCAAAGTTTGGTCAGCAACTCACGAAAAAGTAATCTAATAGCTAAGTGAATTTTTAAACGGGGAAGTCGTTGTTGATATTTTGAAAATTTTCTTTTCTTAGCAAGTTTTAAAGACTTGCGATCATTTAAATCCTCAAGTTTCGAGCTTTAAAACGAATTCAGTAAAACTATAAAAGTTTACAGATTCTGGTAACGTTAACACAGAACAAAGTGGATACAGAAATCATTTACAAATAAATTTGAAATAGATGATTCGAAATAAACAGAAGATTCTGAATAAAAGCTGTCTCTGACTGCCAAAATACCTTAGAATTTTATTCGTTTATTACTTTGTTCCTTAGTTTTTTTCAATTAAGTGATTAGTTTTCGCTCAAAATCAAATATTTGTAATATTGCAATGCTTTAAATTGGGCTTCCCTAGTCTGTTTCGTTTCTTTGCGATTTAAGCCTTTATACACAGTCAGTAGAGAAAGTGTCCATCTTGTTTACCTTCTTCGCCTAGTTCTATGACGTCGTGGTTTCAATAACAATGCGATCACTGAATCAATGAGTGGCGCTTCTCGACATGTTGCAGTTGACGTCTTTTTGGCTAACAGTGATTCGGGTTTATATGTGCAATACGCTATTCCCAAGATGGTGTCGAGCATTGTAACTCCTAAGGATTGTTGGCAAACCCGAAGGACAAACTTTGATTACCCGTCAATCTCTAGTTTTGCTAGGTTTGAAGGTGTGCAAGGTCTGTTTACTTTTGGGTCTTGTGCCCAACAGTAAACTATCCATAGTTTTTTTGAGGCTGAGCAAAATCTTGTCTTTCTTTAGATCTTTCAACGCTTAATAGCTCCTCCAGGCGGGTCTCTGGGCGTTCAACTTCTTTATATTGACGTGGCTGAGTTTATCTGACCTAAATAGGTGTTCTCATAGACGTATTCAACCACCACACCTTCAATTTTTTTACATACGTCTTGTTTCATGTGCTCTATTTAATATTTAAGATGATCCTGATCTTAGTGCCCACGGAACTGAGTTCGTTGATTATACAGCCTGCAAATGAAGTTTTCATGTTGAAGATTATAAGAGACGATCAACGAATTTGTCGTACATCTTTTCTTCCTTTATATCACTACATAATATAAAACAAAGTCGTCCCGCTGTCTGTCTGTCCCTATGTATGCTTAACTACGCAACGGATATTGATGTGGTTTTTACTAGATAGAGTGATTCAAGAGGAAGGTTTATATGTTTAATACCTGTGCGAAGCTAGGGAGGGACGCTAGTATAATAATAAATAGTTCTATTCTCATTCTAGAGTCCTGTTCTATAGCCTTATTCAAGTCTAATGGTGACATTTTTCGGCGAGAGCAGTTCTCCTTACTTATCGTACTCTTACATAAGGAATGATTATCGACGTTTGTGTCATTCCAGAATCTGTGGTTTTCAGATTTCTTACAAGAGGTTATTCGCGTACACTATTTGCGCTAATTAAAGATGCTCTATTTATATAATTTCCTTAATAGGTTCTGTTAGTAAAATTGTAGGAGACGTGAATTGTATCCACTTTTGTTATGTTTATAAGATTTCAGAGTTAGCACGGCGTAGCTGTTAGCCAATTTTGTACGATTACAGATTTCTAATCGATGTTTTGATAAGCATAGCTCATTTAGCAAACACTCATACAATTTAATTACATAAATGTCTATTTTAATGGTCATTAAACTGAAGGTGAACTGAAATAATTATAAGAATGAAATAGGAAAATACTGGGTAAAATTAGGCGTAGACTGGGCAATTTGTGTGACAAATTGTAAGTGCCTTAGCTTCTTCTATTTAAAGTGAACATTTATGGTAAGAATGGCTGTATTCCTTTCGGCCTGGTTAGTTTTTTCTCTGAAAACAAAAGTCATGGTGGTTGGTATTTCCAATAAATTTTTGGAAAATAGACGAGATTGATATATTTTTCGTTGCAACTATTAAAATAATTGTAAAATAATTAAGTTTTCAACATAAGAGTATTAAGATATATTTTTATATTTAGAGCAAGCTATGTCCATCATCCTGATAGGAAAATTGTTTTACCAAGTGAAATATGATAAGATTATCAAAATTTAACTTGTAAACCATTTGTAGTAGTAATTACAATTTTTATAACCAAATTAATTGTTCAAATTATAGATACAAATCCAATTTTTAAATATACTATCTACTACTATTACGTTTTCTACACTCACATGGAGCAGTCTTAGGTTAATGCATGTTTCAGCAAAAGCCTACCTATTTAGTCCAAATGCGATTCGACGTTTTGTGTAAAAACTTCCTAAATAATTTAAATGCGAACTTGTTTAGCATGCGGCTTGCATATGCGCAATATAGAGCATATTTCGACGGCGAAAAGTCAAATAACGCGTGGTATGCTACATGTTCGAACTTAAACGGTGGTTACATGCGTTTGTACGTATCACTACTGGTGGTCCCGGAAGATGCAGCTATGAGCTGATCGGGCGTGTTTGGGCGTAGGCGTCGGCGAATACGCGGCGGGCGGATCGATCGTGCGTACCTTGTCGCGCGGCTCGGGGTTAGAACTCGGCGCGTGCTGGGTGCGGGGTCGTTGCGGCGTGGTCGGGCGCGGGCGGGCTCCGTCATCTGTGGGGCGATGGCATGGGGACGCGGCACGTGCGTGCGGGCGCGCGGCTGGCCGGCCACTGGACGCGGAGCTGCGTATCGATCGGTGCGCGCGCACGCCCCCACCCCCCGCACGCGCGGCGCTCCCCGGCGCGGCTCACGTGCTCGCCCCTGGCCGCCCTGACCTACCGACTGGCGACCGCGCCGCCGCACCACTGTCGGTGTCAGCCCTGGCGCGCTCGCAGGACGCCCGCCACCGACTAACGACCGCGCCACCACGCCACTACCGGTGTCAGCCCTGACGCGACGCACGACGTTCGCCACTGACCGACCAAGCGTCCGACGCTATGCGATTACGTCGGCTTACGGCACAAGCTGCGTATTGTTGCACCGATAGGCTGTATACCTTGTTTACGGGCTCGGAAAGCCATCGACTTTGGTTTTGATTGACTGTCTAATCGGCTAAGATATGAATGTATAACAGAGCAATACAAAGATATGAATGTATAACATCCACGCCGTAAGGATGCACTCAAAGATTATATCTGCGACATTTTAATTTTACTTAAATTATTAAACGACGCAAGAAAACCGATTCATCAGGATGTTGTTCGTTTTTTGTCACAATAGTCGCATACTGTGATGATAGAGCCTCATAGCGGATGAAAACTTAATACAAATAAGGTCTTATTTTCGCGGTTTAACCAAATACTTAAAAAATAACCCGGCACAAATATTGATGAGTTGTATCAGACGAGTTTTATACACATTTAAGTATTAATATAGAACCGTGCTCTCCTTAACCTCTTATTCTGATGGTAGAGCCAAATGAAAGGTTGGTCATAAAATAATATAATAATTAAGGTTATTTTTTCTTATATTTACGCGATTACACATTATAAATGAAACTAATTTTACGGATTTATCGCGTTTATTTTTAATTTTAATTCCCGACGTTTCGAACCCTTTACAGCGTTCATGGTCACGGGACAGACTGAGGTGTTAGACGTCTGATTGTCATAGATTGAACTTTAGATTGAACAATAGATTGAACGAGTCTGCAGTTTGTGAGCACATTTTAAATAGGCCCAACCACTACATCAGGTTTGAGAAACCACAGATCCTTGCAAAAGAACACCGATTCCTCCCAAGGATGATTCGCGAGGCTATTGAAATTAAAAAACACCACTTTCAATAGAGAAAAAGGTTGGGTACTACCATCAGCTTGGGATCCTGTCATCAATAAAATTAAATCTAGGCCCAAACGAACCACTACTGCAAGACAAGATACAATTAGCTCCCTCTGCATAGATCGGACACAAAATTAATAATTCAAAAACTGTCGGTAGCCCGGGTTAACTATGACAATCAGACGTCTAACACCTCAGTCTGTCCCGTGACCATGAACGCTGTAAAGGGTTCGAAACGTCAGGAATTAAAACTAAAAATAAACGCGATAAATCCGTAAAATTAGTTTCATTTATAATAATTAAGGTTGTTGAATGAACGTATTAACAAAAATAAAAATAAAAACTACTTATGTACTGATAGAGAATTGAATCCACGAAGACCCATAACTCATACTAGAGTTATACTTACCACATTGTACATTAAACACATAAGATATTCCAATAATTAAAATGTGAAATTTACGTTTCACCAAAATAATTACATGCAAACAGCAAGCCATTGCTCTGCAGTCGTTAAATTATTTACGTATGATTTTTTATGGCCCCTGTAGCGGGGTGGCCTGCATCTCGAAAAGTCGTAAAAAATAGCGAACATCTCTCCGTGGCACGCCTAAAACAAAGCCGTTATGACATAATGTTACTGGCCGGTTTAAATTTGGCACAACACAATCTGAGTGTTGTCGTCACATAATATAATCGCAGCTTAACCGTTATAACATTATTATATGGTGTTTTGGATTTATGCCGTCTGTAAACATACATAATTATGTAGATACCATAGGGTAGAGCTTCTTTTATTACAAGTTAGATACTGTGGCGTTCTGTTTTACACTTTCACGTGTATTTTTTATTTGAAGAGGCAAATAAAACGCAAAATAATAAGTACTTCTACTATACGAGAGAGACTGTGGTATTATTCCGCTTATTCATGCACCAGCATAAGTTGTTCCTTGGCTGTATCAGTGTTGCTAAGTTTCCCTTGACAATTTCCTTCCTAAATCCTTTTAAGGTATAGGAAGACTCCGATGAGGCTTGTGTATTTTTCCAGGTTAAAGCTCACGAGATAAGTAAAGTATTTTTTTGGGCTGCGAATTTCCGCAGCCCTTTGCCCGTCGTAATCTTAATAGAAAAAGGTTGTATTTAGAACATAAAGGAAAAGTAAAAATTTCTTAATTCAATACTTTTAAGCTTTCATTGTTCGTTAAAAACCAATGGTTCACTAAACTATACCTGTCCAGAGAAGAACAAGCAAGAAACACTCATTCTTGTTATTTATTTTTTAATTATATAAGTGTACAAAATTATTTAAGTATAAAATCAGCAGCAGCCAGGAGACTTACTAGTACAGAGCAAGAGTCATTTCCACACATCCTTGTCCTCAATGTATTCTTTTTACATCATAATAGGCCCTTTCCATTAGTATAGCTTTTACAAAATGTTTGTTATATATAGCCATCATCTATAAAGACTTTGATTGCTAAAATTGAAACAGTCTTTTTCCTTAAAATAATGGTAACCAGTGCCGGATTAACCACATGGCTAGAGTAGCAACTGCGGGCCCCCTTTGCGCATTTTAAACCCACTCATCTCTGCCTGAGGTTTAAATTTTTGAGTGAAACTAATGAAATAAGCGAGAGCATTGAATTGTTTTTTTACCAATTTATACTTAGGAACCCATAACAGATCAAGGGCTGTTTGAAAGAATTTGGTACGGGCCCCCCGTTTGCTTAATCCGGCACTGATGGTAATGAGCATGTGGTTAAACCCTGAATTTTGAACCATCCATTACACACACATCACTTAGCGGACGAAAAGCAAAAGTATAAATTTTTCTGTGACACCGCGGTTCTTAACCACTTTTATCGTGGTTAAGCCACATAAAAAAGACGAGAAGGCAAACGACATTTTTTTTGTCAGAAGTTGTTAAGCGAGCACACAACTATTTACTATAACCCCTGGGGGTTGGCAGGTGCGTTACTAACAGTCCTATAACGTGGCCCCGGTTTACCTCACTCAGCAAACGAAACTCAAAAGTTTAACACTACTTTAACTGTGGTAGGACCACGCAACAGTATTCGCTGTTGACCTCACAGAACACCGGCGTAAAGTAGGAGTGTTACACTTCTGCGTTTCGTCTGGTGAATGAGGTAGCCGGGGCCCACTTTATTGAAAGGCTACACATCTGCAACCGATGCTGTAAATGTCCATGGGCGGCGGTTACCACTTAGCCAGCTTGTGTGCCACTTTCTCACATAAAAAAAATAGCTACTACTTATGCGAGGCCGTGGTTCTTCCCCGGCCTAGCTTTCTTGTCGTACAGCAAGAGCTGCGCCGTAACCGTTCCACAGTTAAAATAACCAACCGTTTGAAAAACTGCAGCTGTAGTAGACAAGATGTGTCTTTTATACACTTAATGCGGATATCCTGAAACTGTAAGCACTCTCGAAAGTCTTATTCTATACGGATGCTCCTGAAAATTTCCTTCGCAATTCTACACACACGGAATTCCTTTTAAGTAAATTTTTCTATTGAGATAACTTGAGGGGCACTTTGGAATGAAGTTTTCGAGCGGCACTTAAACAGTTATACGGCGTAAATGTGCAGTTGGAGCGTTTGGATCCGTGTTATTACCAATTGGCTTAAAGATAAGCGCATACGGACGCGTGGTCGTGTCTAGATCGGAACATTACCGGACGAAAAGGCGGCGCCGGTGGCAAACTGCATCTATTTATGTCGGAGCGAATTTCGCTTGCTTCCACCCTGTATGATTTAGGACGTTGAAAGTAAAACACGCAGGACATCTACTGGTTTCTCTGTGGTATACTATATGCCTGTACGTGCCCATACAATTTCCTTTGCAAGATAGTAATTTTAAAAATGTGTGGATAAAACTGTTCCAAAATTTATTGTAATGATTCAAAAGGACAAAGGATTCGAAGCTGCGCCTTCCCGATAAGCATCCGGTCGCTCTAGCCACTAAGCTACGTCGAGATCTTCCATTGACCCGTAGGGTTTTTTTAGTTTATTACGTCTGCTTAACTGAATACAATCTAGCATGATTACAAAAAAAATGTACACAGAAAAAATGATTGCAAACTAAATAAAACATTATAAATAATTAAATTTATGAGTAAACTATTTATTACTTTAATGATATTAAAGGACTGAAAAAAACCTGGATACTTTATTTTTTGTAGAGGCCAAAGAACCAGCGAATATGTCAATATCAAATCTAATAGGGTTTAAGATGCGTTGCCAGCTTTTAATAAATTGAGTTCCGTTTATCTCACTCACCAGACGAAACTCAGAAGTAACTCTACTTCCAAGTCGTCGTACTTCCTCAGACAGAACTGCATATTTGTGCAACAGCGAAGTGTTGCGTACCACAGGCAATGTATGTCGTACAGATATATCCGAGTATAATCTACCAAGTCGTGAATGTATGATATGGAAATAACTATGTACGTATGATGGATGCCTTTAAACGTATCCGTGGAAAATCTCTGCAATTCTTCAAAATATTCAAATCCTACAAAAGTTGTACCTACTGCTCTCAGTTAAACATATGTGTTATAATGTGACAGTTTAATTCAATGTTTTAGCTGTAAGTTACCCAATTAATTCGTTCGTCTCGCTTAATTAATTTCATGTATACGTGTGTCGTTCACACAATTAGGCTGAGGAGTAGGCAGTTTTTACGCCTACCATTCCATTTATACTCTACGGCATCGGGGACGGACGCGTTTTTAGGATGATTACATTGGAGACAAATTCTTATGTGACTCAAAGCTCCAACAGTAAAGTTGCAAAATCAGAACAATTTTAGCCAAACAATTTTCTTTTTATAAATGAAAACAATCTAAATTTGGTTCAATGAAAAGGTCTATTGTTTTCATTTTCAGCATTAGACTATTAAATTGTGCTAATGCCATTAAGGCGGCACTATGTCCTGTTGTGAATCGTGTTGAAATTACGTTGCAATACAAAGTCGACTCCAACGATAAAACATTTATTTATTGTCGGATGAAAATTGATTTATGATGTTTAACTGCAAACAAATCAGGTGCGAATGTTTATTACAGATTTTCATGCGTGAAAAAAAGAAAGAAAAGAACATATCTGGCGATAAATATAAAAGAATCTTCTTTTTTTTAATTTTATAGTGCTTATCTTTGTACTTAAGATGAAACAATTAAAAATTGTAGAAAGATTGGATGAACACTTATTGCTCAAGCGGCTTG